TTTGTTTGTTTCTTTGAAGCTTTTATATATGGGGAAGCCCATTAGTATGATTTTTTCCCTCTCCCTTCTTCGGGCAGGTGGTTGCCGAAATGACCGAACTGCTCTCTTCAAGTGGAAACTATGGGGCGTACCGCCGGGCCTACGCCGACTGCAAAGACTTCAAGATCCCCATCGTGGGAGTCCACCTCAAGGACCTGGTGACTTTGCACGAAGCCCTCCCGGATCGCGTAGAGGGCGGGCGTCTCAACCTGAGCAAACTGCAGAGCCTCTACGAGCCGGTGTGGGAATTCCGGTTGCGGCAACGGGCTCAGACGCCCTTCGAAGCCAACAAGGACCTGGTGCATTTGCTGACGGTACGAACGATACCCTTGGAGAACTCATGGAAGGGTGGATGAGCAGGCCGAAGTGCAGGCGGTCCAGCGCTGGGCGGGTTGAAGGAAGTCCTTTTGGCTGCCTTTGAAGGAAATCAACCGGAGTCAGACTAAGCCACGGTTAATCTGACTCCATGGTTGGAGAATATGGACTTTTCCCCGCCAGCATTCATAGAATCACAGGGCTAGAAGGGACCTTGGAGGTCTTCTGGTCCACCTCCCTGACCAAGGCAGGAGACTTTATACCAGGGGTCCCCAAGCCCACGGTCCGTGGCATGCCAGAAACGGGTCCCTGCAAGTAAACCTCCATCCATGGGATGCAGGCACCACAATGCCCTTTTCGGTCCTCGTAAAAACTTGTCTCCACAGAATTGGTCCCTGGTGCTCAGAAGTTTGGGGGCTGCTGCCTTATACCAGCCTGGATAATATATATTTTTTTCTTGAAAATCCTGTTTTTCTTGAAAATCTCCAGCGATGGAGGGCCCACAACTCCGGGAGGCAAACTATGAAGTCCCTCCCAGGACAGTGTGCCCTATCATATTACTTATATGAATATTTATATTGTTTATATCAGTGTTTCTCAACCGTGGCAACTTGAAGATGTCCGGACTTCAACTCCCAGAATTCCCCAGCCGGCTGGGGAATTCTGGGAGTTGAAGTCCGGACATCTTCAAGTTGNTCCACTGCCACGGAGAGGCCGCAAAGGCACAATCCGAGCCAGTGCCTCAGCCGCCACAACATTCCAGGCTGCGACTAAGGACTCTGTCGGATTGTGGACAAGGGAGTCCCAAAATCCTTCCGGGTCCATCAGGCGCCTGGGGCGGAACCACTTAATCGGCTCCACCTCCCTGCAATGGGGGAGTAGCATCCTAAAGTCAAGCCTCAGCAGGGAGTGATCTGACCATGATAAGGGCGAGGTCTCTATTCCCCTTAATTCAAGATCACATCTCCACTGCCTTGAGAGAAATACAAGGTCGAGTGTGTGTCCTGCTCTATGAGTTGGACCCTGAACTACTTGGGTCAAGTCCATGGTTGTCATGGAAGCTAATGAACTAATAATAAAAATACAATAGCATAAATAACATAATAATATAAGATCTAACAGCTGAGGTAAATTTTCAGGATAATAAATAGAAATGGCTGTCAATTATAGATTGTTGATTGTAGATTAAATGGACCTACAGTATGTAAAATGTGGCATTAAACTGTATATAAACATAGGATGTTGTTTGCTTTCTATCCAGATCAGGCACTTACTTGAGGCCACATAATTGTAATCCAGTCCAATCCAGTCCTCCTGTAGCATTCTGCTGGTTGAAAACAGGCCTCTGCATGGCCTGTTTTCAGCAGGCAGAGTGCTGCAGAAGGACTTGGAGGCAAAAAAACAGGCTGCGGGGAACCACACGTGGCCCCCTCACAGTCAGTTTACGCTGGTAGAGGCACCGCAGGCCAGTCCTTTGATATTTCCAGGCCGGCCCCGTGGGCCAGATTTAAGCACATCTTGAGTTTGACACTCTGGCATACACCATACAGATTTGTAGTCTGACAGGTCACAACTAGCGTACAATGTAGTGCTTTTAGAATTGCTGTCCATGAGTTTACTGAGGTGAGGTCTGACAGATTATTGCTTAAAGAGAGATTACCAGCACTTCTTTCAAAATAATAAGGATAATCCACCCATGTCTCTCTGAATAATGGACATTACACATCCCAAAATAGTTGGTGTAGATAGTGGATTAAAAAAAAACCTGAAAAAATTCAGTAGTGAGATGGGCAGCATACAAATTAATAAAAATAAATAAATATCTATTTTATCAATCTGTAACAACTGAGCAGTAGTAATCCAAATGAGTAAAAACTGATGTGCTATATGGTTTTTGTGGCCAGGCTGGCTGCTATTGTGCTTGTGTGAGTCAGCACAATGAGGGAGAAAAAGGAAGAAGAAACTTAGGTGTGGTCTTGCCATGTAGCTGTGTTGTTATGAAGGCTGATCAGCTGTCCAAGCTGCTAGCCAGGATTGCTGTAAGGCATAAGTAGGGAGCATTCCCACTGGTCAACTTCTGGGTATAATTGTTAGATACTAAAGCCCTGGGGAACAAACTTACTGGGAGATATGCTGCCAGTTTGATCCATAAAAGTAGAGGAAAAAGAGATACAAAAGACAATGGGGAGATGTTGCCACATTGAGATTGTGCTGCTACGAGGCATAAAGGCAGAAGTGCTTTTGGAAAGACTGCAGGAAGTTGGTGGCTAGAGAGAGACATGAAGAGTATGAGTATGCTGAGTTGTTGGACTGTTCCTGATCTCAGATGAAGATGAAAAGTAAGATGTCAGCTGGAGACTTTCCTGAGAGAAGAGATGTGAAGGCCTAGGCAAGACATGCTTCACCTCAAGCCCAGGAACAAAGGGAGCTGGCTACTTGCAGACAGAAACATGGAACTTCAAGGAAACCCCACATTTGGAAATGCTGGGCACAAACCCAAAGTGGAGATGAATTGTAGGAAACAAGTGATTTGCTTTGTTGATGCATTTCTTTGTCCAAGAGATGCAACTTAAGAAGTTAAGAAGTTAAACTTATACTGAAAGTTTATCCTTTTTCATTGAAATTTTGAAACACTCATCCTTAACCCAACCTCCCTCTGAGAGTTGCTATAGGAAAAAATATATAAAAAGAGCTCCTTACATAAGCCACCTTGGCTTTTAGAGGAGATATAAAGCTAACAAACAAAAGTTTCTCTTCTCTGGCACCGACTAAAGAAGAAAGGAGAAACACAAGGTCCAGGAGATATTGTTCTGACATAGGAGGCAAGTCTTCTTTTATTCACCAAATTATATACGTGCATATTTTGTAGATGGAAGAAGAATCCAAATGTCTGTTATTTTGTTTTGTTTATAGATAACGAATACTAGTTTAGCTTACTTGACTTCCTGTTTGCTCTTGATCGCTTTCTTTCTTTGGGTACTACACGCTGACTTGGTACTTGTGTGGCAGACTTGACAATACGATCCATTATCTCATCTGCTGCATTGTCTGTAGCATTAGTCAAATCATCATTGCTAGGGTTCCATGAACCTGCATAGCCTGGAAAGTAAAGCCAAAATAGTTAATGAAATTATATTCAACATGGCTGAGTATATTAGTCAGTCATTCTGTGGGGGCCATAAGTCATATTCTGTGCCTTTTAAGGGATTACAAATCAGTGAGAAAGATAGATTACTTCCAGGTTTGTCAGAAATCACACTATCAAATGGTAATTGGCGGTGCAGTGGTTAAACTGCAGGCAAACTCTACTCACAGCCTAGAATTTTATCCTAACAGAACTCCACTGTTTACTAGTTTTCCATCCTTCCAAGGCTGGTAAAATGAAGACCCAGATTGTTGGGGGCAATATGTAAATAATGCTTACATTGTAAACTGCTCAGAGGGTGCTATAAAGAATATGGGGTGGTATATAAGTTTAAATGCTTTTACTATCAGATATCTTGACAACAGAATTTTCATCAATTTCATACATGGGGAAATCAAAGTTTGGATTATTTTGTCATACTTTATAACCATCTGAGTGTTCGTACACACCTAGGCCTCTAATTCAGTTTAAAGTAGAAACAATAGTGATCCCCACAGAGCTTTATTCATACCAATATACTTTGTGTTTCAACTGCCCCATATAAAATATTCTAGGTAAATTTTGTTTATAAGCCATCTTTTGAATAGTATTTATAGTATTGTATAGTATTGAAAATCTCTCATTATCAGAGTTTTTAATTATTTTGTGCCATGATTTTTTTGACTTTTCTGGGGAAACCTATGAACTCTTTTACACACACACACACACACACACACGCACACACACACACACACTCCTTAACTGACAAGATTATTTTGTAAAATTGCAGGAGAAGGTGGACCAACTTTAGTGTAACAACAATGTACCTGCCCTATGATTGGACAATCAAGTGCTTAGAAATAATAGGAATCAGTAGAAACATCAGAAACTTTGTGTAGAAATCAATGGCAGCACGGAAGACGTGGTTGTGATCAATGTTTTGGAAGAGATTAATATTGATTTAAGCAAGCCATAGTTATGAAACATCAATTTTTATATCACACAAAAGCCCAAGCAACCAAATACTTGATAATGAAGGATCTAGCAAAGGTGGGGATCATAAGGCAACCAAAGGCCAATAACTTGCCTACCAACAACTTTCAAACTGCTAACTGGAATGGAAGCATCTAATTGAAAATCTGAACAGAAAGAAAACTGCCCAAACAGCAGAGAAATGAAAGATCAACTTCTAATTGATAAGATCACTCTGGAAAACTGGAATAGAAGGAAGACCAACTCAATGTAGCATGGATTGATTATAGAAAGCATTTGACTTCTTGCCAAATGATGGTTAATCAGGTGTCTAGAAATAATAGGAGTCAGTAGAAACATCAGAACCTTTGTGCATAAATTGATGCACAACACAAGACATAAATGCTGGTCAACTGTAATAGGTTGAGAGAGATTAATATCAAGAGATGAATCTTTCAAGTTGATTCAGTATCACCACTATTGTTTGTTGTTGCACTTATTCCTCATCTAATACTGAATAATTAAATAACCATTTTAAAAAAATGGATTGCCAATGTCCGATGATGGATATGGCAGAAGAAGAAGGAGAAGGAGAAGAAGAATCAATAAATATCTAAAGCTATTGTTATCAAATATTAAAAACCTGCCAGGATATCCCAGCTATTTTATGAATGATCTGAAGCTTTATGGAAAAGCACAATAAAATCTCTGCCCAACTGTCTGTATATATATCCAAAATAGTGCAATAGATTTTTACCTCGACAAATGTGCAATGTTTACCATCAAATGGGGAAAAACAGTGAAAATTGAAGGAATCAAGATGCCCTTTGGATCCCCACCTTCACCCATTAAAAGTCTGGGTGAAGACAATACTACAAATAACTGGGCATCCTTCAAGCGGACAACATCAAGAATACTGAAGTCAAGAAAAAGCTTACAAACAAATGCATCAAGAGAGCAAAGACCTTAAAGTCCAAACTCAGTGGAAGCAATACTGTCAAGGCAATTAATACCTAGGCAATTTCGATCATTGGTATACAACTAGAATAATGGAGTGGACTCAAGCTTGGTAAATGTTCTGCATATAAAGAAAAATAATGACAATGAATCATGCCCTTCATCCATGCAGTCACGTTGACAGACTCTATTTATCAAGGAAAATAGATAGCATGGAATGTTTCAAATAGAAATAAATAAAAAGTATATTGAAAGACTATCCGAAGTATATTGAACAAGATGCACTGAGGCTAGTATATCAGGAAGGCCTACTGAGTACTGGAGAGACCAAACTAGCCTATAAGAAAGAATAAATGATAAATAGAAAGGAGGCATAGAAAGACAAGATTACATGGCTAGTAAATTAAAAAATAGCAGGCAAAGTAGCTAACAACAGCAGCAGACAGCAAGAAAGCTGCAAAAAAACCTGAAGAAACAGTGGAGCACCTGATTAGCTGCTGCAGGAAGATCACACTGACTCTACAAACAATGGCATGGTAAACTAGCAAAATGATGCATTGGAAAATTGCAAGCAATATCGTTGAGAGAGCCAAGGTGGCGCAGTGGTTAAATGCAGCACTGCAGGCTACTGCTAGATCAGCAGTTCAGCGGTTCTAATCTCACCGGCTCAGGGTTGACTCAGCCTTCCATCCTTCCAAGATGGGTAAAATGAGGACCCAGATTGTTGGGGGCAATATGCTGACTCTCTGTAAACCGCTTAGAGAGGCCTGAAAGGCCTATGAAGCGGTATATAAGNAACCTTGAGCCGGTGAGATTAGAACCGCTGAACTGCAGATAACAGTCAGCTGAAGTGGCCTGCAGTTCTGCACCCTAACCACTGCGCCACCTCGGGTCCGAACTACTCAAAATTTCTGCTGCTAGTTCTCCAGAACTGGTCAGAAACTGCTGAATACCACCTTGGACAGAAGGGCCTGATTGCCAGTGGCTCTTTTGGGAGAAGTGCTACACATATATTAATATAACTTTCTTGAACTTTTTACCCTGAATAGCATTCTTTTTTTAAAAAAAATGCTAAACAGCACTTACAATACTAACCACAAAGTTAGTCTTAGAAGAAGATGGAAAAGGGAAACAATAGGTTTGGTAGAAATTATACTAACAAATAAAATCATCCACCAAGTAAGCAATTTAGAAGACTTCTTCGCCTAAATAATTTAAGAGTATGGAATGGTCTCCGTGTAATACTGAAAGAGACAGAGTTCAAAATTAATTTCTAAACACTCAGAATCTGGCTTCCACACCTTCATGTTACTTTGGAAAGCAAGCTGTGTCCAACCAAATATATAGCATGTGATAACTGTGAAAACAAAACCCTTTGGAAAAAGCCAGCAATCCAGTAATTAGCTGTTCTGCAGAGCAAAAGCTACATTTGTTCCTCCCACTTCCATTTTCCATATTTAGCAGTGGTTTGATACGAAGTTTTATTCTGGAAAGGGCAACTCGGGATTGTCATGCATGCTCTGTTGGATCAGAGTCAAGTCCATCTAAGAACAGTAAAATGGCAAAGAACATCCCTCTAGGGACACGATACTGGTAATTATGAAGAAAATTTTATCAGGGTCTTATTATTATTATTTCTTTTTCTTCTTGCTTTTTCCTTCTACTTTATTGTCTTGTAATTTTATTACACTGAAGCTGTTTGATGTTATTTAAAAAGTGTTGAATTTGTAAAAAAAATAAAAGATGGTAAATAAAGCAATCTCTATTTTAGAAAAAAAAAAGCCTCTTTTTAAGGTGTTAGAATAAACTTGAAGTGGAATTGTTTAAAACTACACAACTTGTAAATATCAGCCAGCTACTCCACCTACTCATTCTGCTAATATTATACTGAAAGAAGCCCATTTTTAAAATAAAGTAACCAAAGAACATCTAGAGCAGTGGTTCCCAACTTAGGCCCCAGGCCCCACAGGGGGGCAATTTGGTTTTTAATGGGGACAATTTGAACCTTGTTTACACCAAGTTAATGATCTTTTAGGCTTCCTCTGCGTGAGTAAAGTTCACTTTTTCACTAAAGTAAGAATTATATGTCGGGGGGGGGGCGGGAATCAGGATTTTAAAGATCCTTGGGTGGGGCATGGCAAAAAAAGTTAGGGAACCATTGATCATTGGCAATTGATTTCCAAGAGCATGGTATAGGTACTTCTCGACTTATAACCACAATTAAGTGCAAAATTTCCATGGCTAAGCAAGACAGTTGTTAAGCGAGTTTTGCCCCATTTTACAACCTTTCTTGCCACAGTTGTTAAATGAACCACTTCAGTTGTTAAGTTACTAATACAGTTGCTAAGTGAATCTGACTTTTCTTGTCAGAGAGTCTCAAAGACCCTGGGACACTACAATTATCATAAATATATGCCAGTTGCCAAGCATTCAAATTTTGATCAAGAGGATGCCAGAATAATATAAGTGTGAAAAATAGTCATAAGTTACTTTTTTCAGTGCCAATGTAACTTTGAGCAAACGCTAAATGAATAGTTAAATCGAAGATTACCTTTATATAATCCTCCACAAGTAATGTATGGACTATTTCTCTCTTAAAACCAGAGAATTGCAGTTCTCTTTGCATTATTTTTCTCAAGTGCTAAAAATATATGATAAGGTCAGCATGTGAGATGTCCCCAGTTTAGTATGATGTGCAAACTCTTCCCATAGTTCATAAATCATGGTTGATGGATTCACACCTTTTGCAATTCTACCGTTATGGCATATTCAGCAAGCCATCATCCACACAATAATGATTCCACTCAATGTATAAATCGAGTCAATTCTGGTACAAGAATTAAGCACTTGGTACATACAAGTATGGGACGCAGCAGCTCAGTGGCTCAGATGCTGAGCTTGTCAATCAGAAGGTCAGCAGTTCGGAGGTTTGAATCCCTAGCGGCTGTATAATAGAGTGAGCTCCCATTACTTGTCCCAGCTTCTGCCAATCTAGCAGTTTGAAAGCATGTAAAAAAGTAGAATAATAGGAACCACCTTTGGTGGG